GCTGCAGGACGAGGCGCGACGCGACCACGAGCAGCGTTGCGCCGTGCAGCAGGAACTGCACCAGGCACAGCGCGACGTCGCGGCAGCGCGGGCCGAGCGTGATGCGCTGGCGGTGCAGTTACGCGAGCTCGAGCACGACATGCAGACGCTGCGGGAGGAGATGCAGCAGTCTAATGTTGACCGCCTGTACCTGCGCAAGTGTGTGGAGGAACTGCAGGGGCAAATCAGGCAGCTGCAACAAGACCGACAGGGGCAGCGTGACGCCAAGGAGGCGATGGAGTGGGAAAGACGGCAACTGCTGGTGCAGCTCGACCGACTCAAGCGTGATGGCGTTGCTGTTGGCGCCAACAACGGTGGTGCTGTGGGGGTTGGTGCTGTACCCACGACACCTGCGCGACATGACGAGCCCGTGCAGCAGTTGCGCCGCTCGAGGGAAGCAGCATCGCCACTAGCACCGGCAGGCACAGCCGATAGCCACGGTGTCGTGCCGTTATCATCGCCTGCGCCGGCGGTGGAGCCGATAGACAAAGTGCGGTGGTGGGAAGCAAGGCTGCAGGCCATCACGTCATCTATGAAGGTGTCGCAGCCGCCGCACCCCCTCACGACCCCAAACGCGGGCACATCACGAGGGATAGGGCCACAGCAACGCACCGTGGAGAACGCCTCATTGGCCTGCGACATACTGAATGCCTCACCGGACATCAATGGCGGTGGTTTTCTCGGTGTGATTACGTGAAGGAGCACACACACACAGGGGGAAAAAGAGAAAGAGAGTGTGTGTGTGTCTGTGTGCAATATGGAAGTGTTGTNGGGGGGGGGGGGAGGGGGGTTGTCGTTACTGTACCGGTGTTCACATCCCGTTCTGGATGATGATGATGATGAGACGATGTGTGTGGTCTGATATTACTTCGCTCCAGCATCAGCGCCTGGGTGTGTTGTGCCCCCCTGACTACTCACGAATGCCGCTCATGCTTTTGACCTGTCACTTCGCTACATGTGTGCACGCATGTCTCTGTGAAGCTACACTCCCCCGCCCCACCCTGTTGCAGTTGCTGTAAGGCAAAGGACACAAGAACTATACAGGCACCGTGCCGCTTGGAATTCTTCTTTTTTTTTGTGTTTTGTGTGCTGTTGTTTTTTGGGGGGGCTGCTGCTGCAAGCATGCAAGGCACTACGCGGGTGCCGCAGCCGTGGTCGCTGCTGGCCCAACACCGCTCCGTACGGCGCCACAACTCGCATGGGGATACACACGCACTGTTGTCGTCTTCGTCGTCATCGTGTTTCCTGTCTTCGTCGCCCGCAACGTCCGGTGCGATGGCGGTGGCGCAGGACAGTACTAGCGGCCCAACAGGAGCGGTTGCGTCGTTGCATGGCGCGGTTAACGACGAGGCTGTGCATTCCCCTACTGTTTCGACGGTGTCGCTTCTGTGGGGGGCGTCGTTAGGGTTGGACAGCTGCAGAAGTGCGGACAGCGTTGTTCCTGCGGCAGTTGGAACACCAACAGGTGGTGACGGTATAGGAGGAGAAGCGGCAGCATTGGAGGCGGGCAATGGGTTTGTGAGCAGACTTCTGAAGCAAGTGAGGCAAGACGCGCAGTCACGCTCGCGAAACGGTACAGAGGGTGTGTGGGTGGGAATGGCGGAGATGCTGAAGAGTGTGCGCACGCTGCATCTCTCACGGTGTCCCTTGTGTGCCCCGCAGCGGGCGCCCAACTGGTGGACGACCTTACGTGAGGAGAAGCAGCGACGATATGAGGCGGGCAATAGCGCACAGAGTGGCGGGAGCTGCCGTGGTCAAGACACTAACAAACGAAAGCGCGACAGGGCGAGTTGTGAGGGTGAGTCTGCAGAGTCGCACAATGCCGATTCATCGACTAGCACGAGGGCGGTCGGAAATGGGACCAGCAGGGAGGAGGAGGAGGAGGAGGAAGAGGAGCAGCAGAAACAAGTGGATGTGGAGTTGTTGTGTGCTGAGGCGTCTGACTTCCTCGAACACGTCTATGCACGACGGGAGCGTCTCGCCGCGACACGGCCTGCAATGTACGCTGCATGTGCTGAGACGCATGCACTTCGCCAGGCGTGCGACGCCCTCGGCGGCATTGTACTCCTTGAGGCGCTCCTGTTGGGGATGTAGAACGGAGGGTGGTAGACAAGAGTGTGTGCACCTGTATGTGCCTCGTTCGTTTTTTTTTTTATCTATTTATTTATACCTAACTTCAGGTGCGTAATTTTGGCGCCTTGCTGGAGAGTTATTGCTTCTGATGGGTGGCACATAGAGACGGAGAGTGGGAGGGAAGATGACGAAAGGGCGCGGGGACACCGCCGTGTGAATGGTATCAGCCCGCTGCACCCTGCCGTAACGGTGACAAGATGTATGCGTGTCTGTGTGTCTCGTGGGCGCCACGATCCGCCTGCTATGTTCTCCTCTCCTTCAGCTCCCGCCCCACTTGCCGTCTTCACACCTTAGCTAAGAGCAACAACAGAAAAGCAGAAGAAGCATGTCTTCGGATGACGAGCAGGGGCTGGGGGACCTCTTCGCCGCAGGGGAGGAGGCGCCACCGACGTACCCCGTCGAGGAGCTGTGCATTCATCGTATTCAGCTGCGGCATGAGGGAGTCACCAACGCCGGCTTCATACCGCTCCTGCAGCGCCTCGACCGGGCATCGCCTGATGACCGCGGTGACATCGCGCTGGCGCCGCTGACGGTGTATTACCGCAACAAGCGGCACAGTTTGTGGGGGCACAAGCTGTGGAACGCCGCCAAGTACATGGTGAAGCGGATGGACAGCCATATGATTGATGTGCGCGGCAAGACTGTGCTGGAGCTCGGAGCCGGCCTTGGCGTGCCATCACTCGTCGCCTACAGGAATGGCGCACGCTGTGTGGTGGTGACGGACTACCCGGATTCGGATCTGATTGATATTCTCGAGATGAATGTACGTGCGAACTGCGCCCCCGACATGCTTGACGCCGATGCTGTGGATTTCCTGCTGCAAGAGGCGCGAGAGCGAAAGGTAGCATGTGCCTCTAGCCAAGGCGGCGCCAGCAACAATTGTGGTGAAGTTGAACTAACGGATGTGGAGCGGCAACGGGCAACGTCCACGCGTTGTGTAGTGGAGCCGCTGCTGTGGGGCAAGGATTCGCACATTCGTCAGGTGATGTCGTACACGGGTGGTTCCGGCTTTGACATTGTGCTGCTCTCCGATATTCTATTTAACCACGTCTGCAACGACGACCTCGCGGACACTGTGGCACGCGTGTTGCAGAGGGGCCCGCATGCCGCCGCGTACTGCGTTTTCTCGCACCACCGGGCCTACAAGCAGGTTGAAGACCTGGAGTTCTTCGACAAGTGCGTGGCGCGCGGTCTGCGCTACGAGCAGGTTGATGAAGAGAATTACCCACTGATGTTCCCAGAGGACCGTGGTCCGGCAGAGGTGCGGCAGCCCGTGAAGGTGTACAAGATTGTGCACTACTTTGACGATGCGGGGGCGGCGTTTGAGCCTGGCCACGATGTGTTCGACGTCGTCATTCAGGGAACTGGGCAGGTGGAGTCCCTGTTGTCTGCCGCCCTCGCGCGCAGTGGAATTCGTGTGCTGCACTGTGACGGCCAAGAGGACTACGGTGGCGCCTTCAAGACACTCTCAGTGGTGCAGATGCGGGAATACATCGCAGCAACGGCAATAACAGCGAGAAGGACAAAAGCACAGGTTTTGGAGAAGGATTCTGGTGCGTGCGACGAGACGCATAACGAGAATGACGCTTTCATCTCTCTGGATGTCATGGATACGCTCGACCTCCGGAAGCAGCGGCGTTTTCTGCTCGACCTTCTCCCGATGCACTACTTGTCGAGCGGTGAGACAGTGCAGCAGCTCATGGGGTCTCATATGGCGCGTCACCTGGAGTTCCAGCGCTTTGCTAGCTTCACATTCCTCCTCCCAGTAGACGGAAGCAGCAGGAGTGGCTTTAGGCTGCAGAGCGTCCCGCTCACGCGCGGGCAGGTGTTCGCCGACGGCCACATGGGTCTTATGCAGAAGCGTCGCCTGATGAAGTTTGTGAAGGATGTGGAGGCGTCTTTGGCGGAGCAGCTGCACGCCCGTACCGCCGACGCTGGTGACGACCCGCTCTCGCAGGCGGCGCTGACGCAGGCCCGCGCGGTCGCCGAGCAGGCTGGGCGACTTTTTGCGGAGGAGGCCCGCGCCAACCCTGGCGAGACGCTGAGCGCAATGCTTGAGCGTAAATACGGCGTGACCGGTGACGCGCTCGACAGCGTGACGCTGATGCAGCAGCTCAACACAACGCCGAATGATGCACTGCGCTCAGTCGAGCTGGTTCGGCAGGTGCTGACCTCTGTTGGGGCCTTTGGCGGCTCGACACCATTCCTGCAGTCTATGTATGGCACCAGCGAGGTACCACAGAATATGTGCCGCATTGCCGCTGTGTGGGACGCCACTTTTGTGCTGCGGCGCAGTCTGCGTCGTGTGGTGCCTGGCGCCGCTGCGCCGTCAGCTGAGTTGAGCAACCACCAACGCATCAAGGCGAAGGTGGCGGTGGTTCCCCGCGTACTGGCCGGCTGCTTTGCAGCACCGCGCAAGACCGAAGAAGAAGAAGAAGAAGAAGAGGCGGTTAGAGGTGAAGTGCAATTCTCGCGTGTCATCATGGTTGCCAAGGCGCCACTTGTGTCGTGGGGGGCGCTGCGTGCGGCCGGGTGCTGCGAGGCGGCAGCGGAGGAGACGGGAACAGAGCGTGACGCGATGGAGGCGTTCCCGCCGCTTGTATTGGCGCTGTGCCACGCGCGGCCTGGAGTTGTCGTTCACGTGCAGCAAACCAGTGCCGCTGCGGAGCAGGCACCGGATGACGGCGCCTCTGTTGTGGTGCACTTCACCGTTGACAACAGTCGCATGGGGGCGGGAGAGCTGCACCGCTTCGTGAAGGAGTCTTTTGTGCGTGATGCCACCGCTGATTCTACTNCACCGCCCACTGGCAGCTCCCTTACGGTGGACGCGAGTCAGATATTGTTTCTTGCCGCATTTGTTCTGGGGGAGCGGGAGGAGGCACAGCGCAGCCTTCTCAATCCTGTAACAGCGGGAGGGGTTAATGACGCAGACCTCAGTGAGACGCGCAAGGCTCATCCGTATGCGGTGGAGGAATACCGCAAGCGACAGCAGCGGCAGCAACAGCAGCAGTGTGAAGGAGATTTGGGTGATAGTGAAGAGGCTTGCCAGGTTGTGTCTGTTCCAACTCTGTTCGAGAACCTTATTGACGACGGTGCCTATGTTCAGGCCGCGAAGAAGGCGTACGACTCGGTTGTGGCGAAGCTGCAGCTGCGGGAGGAGGACGGCAAACAGTACACATTTCTTGAGTGTCTTCCCCCTCTCCCTGGCGAGGGTTCGTGAGTGATGTATGGCTCTGTGTGTGTGTGCGTGTGTCTTTAAACGTCTAAACAAACGGAGGAGGACTATTTAAGCTGCTCTGTTTGCAATCGGTCTGCTTCTGTTTGTGTGTCTGCTTGAGTCTGAGAATGAAAAGGGACGCAGTAGAAGTTCCTCGACCTACATACATATTTGTATTTGTGCGTGTTTAAGCTGCACCGCTCCATTTGTGTGCGGTGCTGACTTTTGTGGTTCGCTGTGCTTGACTACTCCCTGTATGTCACATTATCTTTGCCACCCCCTCTCCTTACTTATTTCCTTGATGAGCATGCCTGCAGCAGCAGCAGCAGCAGCAGCAGGGGAATGCTGTACGACCGGGCCATTGCCAAGGTGCTGTTAGTCCTCACTACCGCCCTCTATGTTTACTACATCCTCTGGATTGGCGTCACGCCATTCATAGATCCCTCACACTTCACGCAGCGTTTGTTTCCGCCGCGGGAGTACGGCCTGCTGCTGGCGGCGGCTGTGATGACGGTGGGGCTCGGCCTCTCCATGACGGTGGCGTCAGTGCACACCATACGGCGAACGGGGATGAGGGATGAGGTGCAGACCCCACACGCACCGCAGGTGGAAAGATACGATGCGGAAGGGCGTTTTTCATAAGTTGTCCACTCTCCTGTTGTGTCTTTATGCATCAGTGCCAGTGACCCTCTGTGTGTGTGTGTGTGGTGGGTGACATGCTGTGTGTACACATCCAAGGTCTTTTTGTCTAGAGTTTGGTGGTGCAGTTTGGAACTGTCGTCGCTGCACCACCGGTGAGGCGACAGTTGATGTTCTTTTGCTTCACTCGCTCTCCCCTTGCTGATTAGTTGCTAGTCGGATAGAGACTTTTCGTGGGGGTGTTCACGGAAGAAACAGTAGCAGAAGCAAAAAGAACAATAACAACCAAAGCAAGGCTGCAGGGGGGGAGGCGGGAATAGAGGGGGAAGGAAGGAAGGAAGGAGAGAGAAAGAGTGGCACGATGGCGACGGCACTCTTTGAGGGATATGTTGCGTGGGTGCGCAACAACGCGGAGAACGCGATGAGCCTTGAGCGCTTCTCGCGTATGTTGGCGATAATGCTCACCGACCCGCGGAACCTCCTCACGAAGGAGCTCTCGTGGACGCTCATACGCCTGCATGCCTTCTCGAACCACACGATCCTCACCACAGCCGGCAGGCGTGTCAGGTTCACGGATAAGGTGGCCATTCTCAGCAGAATAATACCGGAGATGGAGTGCCTGCTGGAGCTTCTGCTACGGCGCTACTGCGGCCACACGACGGCGTGGAACGTGTTGCTGGTGCTGCAGTCCATGAAGTGCGTGTTCAATCTGCTCGTGCACCGGCAGCTCTTCCTCGTACCGTGGATATGGGCGGCGGTGCGACGACGGCTGCAGCAGCTGCTCAGCCTGGGCGCGTACGGGCGCCGCTTATCGTCAGCGGTGGCAAGGGGCGACAGCCACACGCTGAGGTCCGGTGCGGTTGGGCCGGCGAAAACACAGCTCGTGATTCCGCGCGTCGCGGCGCGGCGGCTGCACCATCGTACAGCCCCAGATGCCGGTGAGGACGCGGGTGACGTGGACGGCGGCAAGTCACTGCCCTGCACGGCGCTTGACCTGCTGGGCATTGCGGTGGACCTCGTGCTGCTGCTGCGACCGCTGCTGCTGCTGTATTCCGCCAGGCGTGTGTTCCCGCGCGATGCGGCCGGCATCGCCACACTGCCCTACCCGCAGCGCGTGGACAAGAGCAGCAGCAATGCCGCATCCAAGGAGGGCGCTGAATGTGACGCCGACGGCCTCTTCCTTGTGCGGGCGGTGCTGGCGGATGGCGCATCCAAGTCGCTCATGTCGAACTGGGGCGTGTGGCTTTCCTTCTTTGGCCTCGACGCGTGCCTTATACTTCTCTCGCGCTACATTCGACGCCACCGTGTGCCAGTTGTGTACATCGATAAGGAGGATAGTTGCGGCCAGTTGGATACAAACGGTGGCGAGGTACCATCTCGCAGTATGGAGAACAGCCACAACGGCGGCGGCGGCGACGGAAACTCCAACGGCCGAACGACGCCGAGAATACCACCGCTGCCGCTGCCGCGGCCGCCAGGGACGGATGTGGTTGCCGAGTCCACCCCTGTCGTCTCGCGCGATAGCCTTCGTGTGCAGCAGGCGCTGCGCAACATGGCGTACTCCTTCCTGCAGAGTCCCTTCTTCACAGCGGTGCTGCAGAAGTTCCTGTACGATCACTTCGTGGTGGGCCGCCTTAACCGTATCCCGCTCCTGGGGCCGCTGCTCGGCTACCAGGTTGCCTACTTACTTTGCAAGCAGCACTACTGCTTCATGTACTTCCTTGGGCAGTAACACACAGACTGACTGACTGACTGGTGGTGGCAGCAGTAGAAGTAGTGGGGTGGGAGTGGCAGACACAGAACAAGCAAGGAGAAGAGTGTAGAAAAGCGAGAGAATGCCGTTGATGGTGGGAATGGGAGTGGGGATCTCGTGTAAAAGGCGGCTAAGCACAAAAGCTAAGGTGAGTGCAACGACAACATAGGCCGGTGATGATCATCATTGCGGACGAGGAGTGGGGTCTTGTTTGGATACGAAAAAAAAAAAAAGATCGGGATATATTTTTATGTTTATATATACATATATGTGTGTCTGTGAGTCAGTAGCAAAAAGTCGCTGTGTACTACTCAATCATGGCGATTCACTTCTCTCTCTCTCTCTCTCTCTATCTCTCTTTTTTTTCTCTCTCTCGCTCGCTCGCTCGCTCGTTCTCCCGCACTCACTGCTGCTGAACTGCTTAGGGAAAGCACACGCCCACACACGAAACTCAGCTCCACAGATTAAAGAGGTGGAAGGGGTTTAGAAGCAGCGCGTGCGTGTGTGTGTGTGAGAGAGAGAGAGAGAGAGGTAGTAACTACTCAGAAAGGGAAGAAAAACAGCAACGAAGAAACGAAGGGCACATATTTTTCCTGTTTACCTGTATACGGAAGGAGGGAATGAGCGCAGCTGAGGAGGCGGCAGCGGCCAAGGCAGAGGTGGAGGTGGAGGCGTCGCCGGAGTTCACGGCGCGGGCAGCGCTGCAGCAGTACCACACCAACGTGCGCGCAAACATGCTCGGCCGTGCCATCGTGGAGTCCACCAATCTCGCCGCCGCCGCGGTGGAGGAGCTCGCGCAGTCGCATGCCCACACCGTGGAGCAGCTGAACGCGCAGGTTGCGGACCTGCAGCAGCAGCTGCTCGAGGCGGCCACGCTAATTGAGATGCTTGGTGGGCGCATTGCCGGTGACGCAAATGCGCCGTCACCCTCCGCCGTGCGGCAGTCGTTCACGCTGGACGTCTGCACCGCATCGCGTGAGGGGGGCAGCGGCCAGCAGCACACCGAGGTGGAGGGGAGCCGGCTGACAGTGGTGCAGGATGAGCAGCGCCAACCAGACGACGAGGAGGAACAGAAACATAAGCAGCGGCATCCTTCGACCGTAGAAGAGGCCGCTTCCGACGCGTTTGCGACGGCGCATAGTGGAAGCCGCTGCACCGGTCAGACACTCCTGGCTGAAGGCGAAGTGGCCCACTCCGCGCTCTTCGCAGAGGCTCTTCAGGACCGCGGAACGTTGAAGCTGCAGCAACAGCAGCAGGCTATGATGGTGACACAAATAAAGGAGCTGACGGCGCTGCTGGCAAAGGTGGTGAAGGAGAACTCTACGTACCGCCAAGAACTACAGCTGTTGCGCGCCACGACTGTTCCGGTGGAGGAACACCGGCAGCTTCTCGCTGAGCGCGACGCTCTCGAGCAGGAGTATGGCTCTGTCAAGGTGGAGTTGCTGCGGTTAGAAGATGAACTCCAATCAGCCTTGGGTGCCGCTCCCTTACAGCAGCAGAGTCGGCAGGAAGTGTTGAAGGCTCCTGATCTAGCCCTTCTACATGAGGGCGCAACAGCGTTGCAACAGGCATCTGCGCCTTCGCAGCAGGAGGAGCCGGAGTCGTTGCCGATAGACGTCACGCACGCCTCCACCGCAACAGAGGGGATGTTCCACCCGGCCCGAAGCCACATCGATGACAGCACAACCCACACGGCCAGCGGTTTCGGTGATGAAGATTTGCAGCACGTGGGTCTCTGGAAGACGGCGATTCGCGAGCTCGAGCAACAGGCAACCCTTGCGGCATCGCAGCTCTCCGCTGCAGAACATCTACGGGAGGCAGAAGGACGCATTGAGGAGCTGCAAACACTCAACGATGAACTCCGCGCGTCTCTGACGCAATTGGAGACGGAGGATGAGTGTGTGCGGCAGGACTGCCAGCAGCTGACGTTCCGAAACGGTGTTTTGTCTCAGCAAGTAGCCTCCCTGCTGGTGCGGGTGGAGCGACAGCGCCGCGCATTAGAGCGACGGGAGCAACAGCCGCAGTGGAGAGAGGCCGAGCAGGATGAAGAGTCTGTGTCAGACACAGAGGTGCTTCTTGAAGGTGAAGAGCCCTCGCAGCCGCGGGGTGGCTGCCGTGTACCACGGGGACGCGTGGCGTCAGCTGCACAGGCGCTTCTTGAGCACCGCAGTTCCGTGTCGGCGCGCACCCCAGCAGCAGCAACCGCAACAACGGCAGATGGTCTCAGTGATTTGCTGGATGTTTCGCTGCGGCCCAGTGGGCCGCTTGAGATCGAGGGCGGTGTGCGGACAGGCCTCGGCGTGTTCGCATGCCCAGTGCGTCGCTCGCTGCAGCTGCGCAACATGGGCTCGCCGCCCGTTGAGGCGGAACTCACCCGTGTGCCGCGGCTGCCTGCGGCCGACCAGCTCAGTGGCGTGGCGCTGGGGCGGCCGTCGTACTACGCGACGCTGAACCCCGCGCGCCCCACCGTGGTGGACCGCAGCGGTGTCAAGGAGAGCGACAGCGGGAGCAGCAGGAACGGGGGCCGAAAGGGCTTGCTGGGCTCCGCCACAACGACGTGGATCGTCAGCGAGGATGCGGAGGAGAACAGGCGGTTCCTCGAGCTCCTCCGCGAGGATGAGAATCTCGATCGCTACTCTATCAACTCAGTGGCAGAGTTGCTGCAACGTAATCAGGAGTTGCTTCAGCAGCTGTACGCGGCCACGCAGCGCGCCGATCTCGCAGCGGAGCGGCTGTACCGACTTGAAGGAAGCCGCGCTACATCTGACACGGAGGCCGCACAGCCGCAATTCAGGGTCTGTCGTAAGCGCAGGCGGGAGGAATGGACAGAGTCGGACGGACAGCAGCCGCAAGAGGGGCAGAGCAGCAGCGGTTCGGCGGGTTACGCATCGCGGGAAAGCGCACTCAACGACGGGAACGTCTACAGCCGGACCTCCGCCTCTCTGTCAAAGAAACAAGAACAGGCCGTGGAGGAAGAAGAGGAGGGGGAGATGGCGGAACAAGAAGAAGAAGCGGGTCATGGTGGGTTGTTGCTTCCTGTGGCTGCGAATGATGAACGCTACGCACAATTGGAAACACACGTCGACGAGCACATTAACGCCGTGCTGCGGAAACACGAGGCGCAGCTGACACTCACCGACAATAGGCTGGCCGCGTCCCTCCTTCGCATAATGGAGTTGGCCCGCAGCAGCGGCAGCAATGAAGAAGAAGCTGTGGCGAGCACCATGAAGGACGCTGTCATCACATCCCTCGTGCGTGTCTGCACCGAGCAGGGGGTGCGTGCGGCGAGTCAGGCCATCGCCCTCGCCGCGGCGCAGGAGTCGGGGCAGGCGGAGATGATGCGTGAGTGCTGGACGGAGGCGCAGGGCGTCCTGCTGCGCACCGCC